ACTTCAGAGCTGCACACACCAGCCTATTGTATTCATTTCCCACACCACTTGTTCTCGTGGTGTCTTCCTTCAAGGCTACACTACACACACAGCAGCCAAATGTTTCCAATGTCTTTTCATTTGAATGTGTCACACATAATGTGACACAACATGTATGTTCTTTCCTATAGAGATGCAAAGCATTGAGGTTGCACCAATTTAGAGCTGTTTTACTTGCATCATTTTGCATAATTACACATACCTTGGATCCTTTGTTAGTGAAGAAAAATATCCTCCAAGCACTTTCAGGTTCAATCAGCAGGGAGGTCCCAATTTATACCTTTGACTATATCATTTAAGTCTGCTTTTAAGGCTGGACTTTTAAAACTCACTTTTAAAAATGTTTGCTGTAATCTTACAAGAAGTTATTATAGCTACATATGTAAAGATTCATTCAATTACTGCAAATGCACTTCAGAAGAAACCGATGTACTAAAATAACATCACTGCCATCTACAGGAGGATACTCTGCAAATTAATAAAAAGACATGGAAGAAATCTGCAAACTGTCAAGGCAATGGTCTATCTAGATTTTTTAAAGCCATTTTACATTACCACTCTTTATAAAAGGTTAACATATTTAATTAAAACCTGACTATAAAGATGTAAACCTTTTAAATGTTTCCAACAATTAAATCATACAATTTTGCCTTTTTGATTATTTTAAGTTAATTATAGTAAATTCTTTTTAAATGTGTTAACAATTCATCATTTCTTTACCATTATATTTAAATCTAAACGAATATAATTTAATTTAGACTAAATCTATTTTAGACATGTAAATTGAACATAAGGGCCACATTTTCTAACAGCAATTCACTTGAGTAAGTCATTGAGTACTGCAATGACACAGACAGAGGCACCAAGTTTATTCCCAGGGTTTTAAACTCGTCACCTTTCTGCGAAATTCAGGATTTTGAATCCAAAATAGGTTATTTGTGTGATTCGTGTAATTGGTTGGAAAGGGTCTTTTTACAGTAACTCAATTTGTTATGCTACTGCGTTCAATTGCTCCTGCAAGCCCGTAACCATGTCTTGAATAAATTCGGGGACCAATTTTTTAGAAAGCATAAAGAAATAAAACAGTGAAGGAAATTCTTCACTGTTTTCAGAGTCAGATCAGAGTAAAGATCAGATCAGTCAGATCAGAGTAAAAATGTAACTTTTTATGGAAGGCCAACAGAGCCAAAACATATGAAACTAACGTCTTGACATGTAATTAACATGTTTATACGCAATTACGAGTTAAGATGTTGTCACATATGTTGGCCCCTTTCGCTATCCACATTTTTAAACCTTTTTGTCATGCAACAAAAAAGTGCAGCAGAAGTGCAGCAGAGCAGTGCAAGAATGTCTGGGGCTACAATTTGTCCATTTCTAATTATTGGGGGGACTTGTTATGGGAGAATTCTTCTTATGGGAGGAAGAATTACACGACAGCACTTTTATTATTGCACTGATTGGCTATTGGCTGTAAGGAGAGTGTCAATCAATGTATTGGAGAAAACAGCGACCATAAATGTAAAGAAACAAAGTTGTTTGTCAGATTTTCCTAACAAGCAACCATATATTTTTTTTGAATAAGCCCAAACAAACCGCAACCCACGACCCGTGATTTTTTTTTAAAAGCGACTTGCCAAAAAAAGACGCCCAAAGTCGCGTAGCAGACTTGGCAACTCCGCCTGTCATGGTCCCAGAAGCTCCTCTCATCCCAGGCCAATAGGTCCCTGTGAAGGCTGTTCCTACCACAGCCTCCCCAGAGGTTCCCATCTCTTCATTCCTCAGCTTAGTGTCTGGCGGGCTGAGATCGATGGCCTGTCCATGTCTTGGCATCTTGCAAGGCAATTTGCCATCTGACCAATCCTGACTTGACATTGACGAGCACTGTTAGACTTCTTACCGGGGTGGGTGGCATGGGGTGGCAACTGCTATCCTAAGAAAAAGCATTGGCACCCCAGAAATATCCCAGTTTAAAATATAAATGTTAGTGTTTCCTGTTGGTGCGTGGCTTGTGGGGGAAAGGGGAACTGTGTAGGGGGCCCAGAGCCATTGGGGGACTTCCCTAAAGGAACAAAATTTCTAACGCATATTTTTTAAATTCAAAATGGCCAAATTTGACAAAAAAGTTGAGTAGTTTACATCACTGAATTACTTTATAGTCAGGTTTTTCCAATTTTACATGTTTGGATACTGTATAAAATCTACTCATTAACCGCAGAACTGTCCACGCCCATCAGCACTTTTATAGAATTGCGGAATCACGCTAATTCGCCCTGTTTAGTCAATCTGGAGCAAAATGCATTGATCCAAGATGCAACTGAATATGTAATGATATAATTTAAAACCAGTAGGTGGAGCAAGAGACTAAGTTTTTCCCACTGACTTACCCCTATTACTTTGGGAGATTTTCCACAATGCATTTCTTTCGTGTTTTCTTTCACTTGTCCATTGTTAACTTGGACTTTTACAGTCAATTTAATTGCAAATGTATACAATTAAATCTCCCTATTATGGAAGTAAAATGGGTTGTTATTGTGAATGCTATGTTCAACTTAAATGTAGTAGTTTTGGACCGGTTGATGGACGGAACTGTCCCTCACTCTACTATGTACCATCGTGTGTGTGTGTGTGTGTGGTTATTGGGACAAAATGTCTCCCACAGAGACAAGTGGTGACGGCTTTTGGAAAATCTAAAATGTAGAAAGTGTTCTGTGATAGGTTTAGGCAGGGAATAGAATATACAGTTTTTGCAGAGTAAATTATTAGAATGTGCTCATAAAACATAAAAAAAACGTGTGTGTGTTTGTTTAAAGAACACTCACAACATTTAAAATGTTTAATAAAAAACCTTTAGGAGCAAAAAAAATAAAATAAAAAACCTTTAGGAGCAAGCTGCGAATTTCCAAAAGAAACAGTTTTGTTTATCTAACCTATATCAAGTGCATCAGATTTCCTCACTGACAAACAAAACATTGACACATGTAAGCAGTGAGCCATTGATGTTGGCAGTGTTTTCAGACATGCCCTCACGCCTGTATGTGAATGTGGATGAGTGATGACATTTGAGGTCATTTTTTAGGTCTGGGTCGTCCTCTTTTTTTTTCCCTTTTTTTAATGAAATCACTGTTATTATGCAGATGCACATATATAGTTAACAACATAAAAAAACAGTAACAAAGACAATGTTTAAAAGAAATGGTAACAAATATGTCAATGGAAAAGATGACTTATATTTTAAGGGACAAAATAAAAATTGTGATGGAGTTTGGGGACCTTTCAGATCATTCTTAAAATGTGGTAGACTTGGAAAGGTGTTAAAGGAGCTGTATGTAAGAAATTTATTTGAATTAATCATAAAATGGCCCTGATATGTCACTAGACATTGAGAAATCATGTTCATTTCAAATACTTATATCACTGACAACAGTAGTCCGGCCAGGATATTGTCATTTAAAAAGTGAAGTTGCAGCCCTCAACTGATGTTGATGTTGTCATGTTGTGTTTTGGTCTGATGCTCCTCCCTCCACCTATCGATCATTCACGAAGTCAGTAGTGTTGCGGCATCCGGGTTGCCAGCTCTGCTCTAGTTACCACAGCTGCAGCTACACACGTGTCGGATAAAAAAATGCAGCCGATCTGGCAACCTCGAGTCAGGGGGGAGGGGGAGGGGATACACCGCTCTACAGTAATTTGAAAGTGATTGCAGTACCGGTTTTGGCCACAATCTTACATACAGCTCCTTTAATAAAAGACTAAGAAAAGAGGAGGTATAGAATAGCAATTTAAAATACTGAGAGGCTTTTTTTTTTTTTTTTTTTTGTTACATGGAAATGTGTTTGTTCATGTGTTTAGTTCAAAAGCAAAAACAATAATAATAATAAAAAAATTGGTCAAAAAAAAAATGACATCAGAACTCACAAACTGACCAGCAACCGCAAAAACAAACAAAAAAACAAAACAAAGACAATGTTTGTTTATTCTAAAAGGAGAATGAGCAACAACATCTGCCACCTCATAATGTTGTCATTTTATGTAATCCATGTAAATCCTGTCCATTAATATCTGAACATTGATATAATTTATCTGCAAAGCTTATCGTCTTGCAATAACCTACAAATATTATTATTATTAAATATAAATTTAAGTTCAACAAAATTATAAACTTTAAAAAGGTGTTGTCCAGAAGACTTTGGTAATGTAGCCATGCAGCTCCCTCACTGCAGTGTTCACACATTTGTAACTTTTATTTATTTATTTAATGATTATACATTTTACTACAAATATTTTAATGTATATGAATCAAACGAATAGCAGAATGAAAAAAGTGACAATATTTCTCATTTATGTTCGACTGATGGGAAGCGTCATAATGCTCCCCATCGTGTCTGACCCGGTCTGACCACGTGTGTGCGCTGAGCTGTAGTAGAGCACATGCTGGAAGGACTAAACCAAATATAGTCCACAACAAGGGTGACAACAGTCTACGTATATAGCCCATGTATTTCTGAACCATGTTCTGAACGTGTATTGGAGTTATTCATTTCTAAATTAAAATGGAAAAATTGTGGTATTTATATAGCCAAACATGCCTGTTGGTGTTCAGGTCAAATGGAGTAACATAACTTCTAACTTCTTGAATAAATATATTTTTTTTTTTTAAAGAAAAAAGAATGCAATAAATAATACCTTTAAAATGCTTGAAAACGTTTGATTTTATGTAGCCTAGCCTGTGTAAATGGTATAAGCGACGCTAATCCATTTTCAAATGCACGAAACTAACATAAATACAAAGAAATAATACAATATTTGGATCACCTCAACATTTTAACACCACTGATTTAACGTACCAAAATAGGCGTTTACATTGCATTGCACGTGTGTTCTCATAGGTCAGGAATCCCCCATGTACAGGAAAGTGGGATGATCCAGTCAAGTTCTCACTTCATTCAAGGTTCATTCAGTTCAGACTAGAAGCTTGACTGTGATTGAATCACGAGACCCCACTGTTACTGTATGATAAAAATGCAGATGTCAAAGAATATTTAAGAGTTGCTGAACGTCCTCAAGATCTAGAAATATGAACGCGGAAGATATTTCAAAACGCACGCACAAAACGTGAGGAGGCGGGATGGATGGAAAGAACAGAGAGCGGCAACGGACACGGAACGCTTGCAACAGAACCGAAAGCGCCAGTGTCCTGCGCTCGCTCAGCGTCGACAACATAGACGACAATGAGACAATGGGAGACGAGTTGGACCGGGGTAAACATTGTGGTCTTGAACGGCGGCTTTTTGCTCCGCGGTACAGCTTGCTTCGTGAAGTTGGCAGGGGCAGTTATGGCGTTGTGTACGAAGCCATTGCCCGTAAATCAGGTGCGAGAGTGGCGGTGAAGAAGCTGCGCTGTGACGCGCCTGAGAATGTGGAGTTGGCGCTGGCGGAGTTTTGGGCTTTGACCAGCCTGGAGAAACGCCACGAGAATGTGGTGCAGCTGGAGGAGTGTGTGCTCCAGAGGAACGGGGTGGCCCAAAAAATGAGCCATGGCAATAAGCGTTCAAAGCAGTATTTGAGGTTGGTGGAGACCTCGTTGAAAGGTAAGTTAAGATGTTTGTTCTAGAAGGTCAGTGGTGGAAGAATGGTTTGTCACAAGCTAACAGTAGCTTTTGTTTGTGACAGTTCATTCATTTGGTAGAAATGACATTTTGGCCATTCAAAAGCTGAATCATGTAAATTTTGAGTAATTTTTCATTGTAATCTGAAACAAAACCGGTTAGAATCCATTGTTTGGCATTGAGTCATATGACGTTCGGCCGATGACACCGGACGTTTATAATGCGCATGTCTTTGTTCTAGATTAAGATTGTTTACATTTTATGTAAGAATGTGGTAAATGTCGGTCATATTTGCCCTCCCCCACCCTCCTCTCGGTTATGAAACTCTTGAGTTTGGAAGTGGGGGAGGTGCTGGTGTTTGGGGTCAAACCTTCTCCACACTCTCTATCCCGGGTTAGAACAATGAAGGAAGTTTGATTCCTTACATGACAACTGTGTAAATTATCTTATAAACGAAAAAGAGACAGTGGTGATTTAGGTCAGATAATCGAGGCCAATTCGATTTGAATGTGTTGGGCTGTCGTCTTTGTGTGACTGCTTTCACATGTAGATCTGAATCATGATGTAGGTTTTTGTACTGTATAATAGCCTACTAGTGTTTCTAGAGGCATTTGCTTGGAAGCTGTTGGTCTAGTCTATATTTACATGGAAGTGAAAGTAGGAAGAGATGTTTAACTTCTATATGGGCTGTATGCTGTGAATAAATAAATTATTTTAAGTGCTTCAAAAAGGGTAGTCTCTGATGGGTAAACAAGACAGTAGGCATGGATTTAGACTTGTTTTAGATTAAGTTTTCAGTCTTAAATATAGCAAAGTGATTATAAAAACGGTGGTCTTACTCAAGTGTTGCTGTAGTGAACAGTTTTTGTTTAAATGATTGTATGTATCTGAAAATGATGGCTTAAAAGCTCCTGGTTATGTGAAAATAACAAAGTCCCACTCCCAACTCTTCAACCAGTCAAGCAAGGGGTTTTACCTCTTGCTTAAATAACAGGTGTTTTGTTACAGATGCAGTCAGTAATTTTTGTTTTACTCAAATTTATGTATTTTGAGTCACTGCAACTTCTGGTGCAGCACAGTGTATGGAATTTGTGAGACAATAAAACACTAAATTAAATCTTGAGGAAGATTCTCACAACAGGACAACGCAATATTGAGACAATCCACCTTCATGCTAAAGTTATTACTAAAACATTGTACCTATATGAAGTCTCTACTAACGAGCTGATGAGTTGAAACGTGTGTTTGATTAGGGAGACATACAAAATGTCCAGAGTTGGGGGTACTCCAGGACCTGGGTTGGGAATCACTGCTTTAAGCCAGGCATTGAGGCATACACTGATTTTCGTCCAAATTTGAGCTGATTTCTAAGTCATATTTAGAGCCTGGGACACACCAAGCCGTCAAAGAAATTATTGGCCGAATATGGCATTTTCGCGTCAATAACGAACACAGCAGTCATTTTAACGTTCCTAAATCCGAACCGCTGAAGACGCAGTGGCTGAGTTTGTTTTCGAAGGGAATATTCCCCACGAGCAACGTCAATGCTTTCATATTTGCGCGAATCATTTCTCACCAGACTGCTTTATAAACGAGGGTCAGTATAAAGCTGGTTTTGCTAAGAAGCTGCTCCTGGACCGGTACCAACTATTTGTGTTCCTGCTGAACCTCCAAAATAACTGAAGTGAGTGTAACGTTTTATTAATCTTTGCAAATCGCTAGATGTACGCTTCACAATGAATGCGTCTAAGGTTTACACTCAGGGTACATTACGGCATGTTTTCTATGTACCACGTTCTCAATATAATTCATAATCCCACGTCTATAATGAACAACGCGTTATGGTTATTGTGTTACAAACAGTGTACACAGAACAGAGAGGCGGGGTGAGCAAAGCTCATTATCATTTAAAGTCATATGCACTGAAACGGCGTGCTGAAAACAGAGCTGTTTTTGACCAGGTAAAAAAAACTTTGACCAGTGTTTTCTTACAATACTAATGAGAATTTTTAATTAAAGTATATTACAAAGTTTTAATTTAGACTCTAAAGAATCATATTAGCTTGTACAAAAATGGCATTATATGACCCCTTTAAGAAATATTTGCATATATGCTGTATACAAAATGTATATCATATATAAATATTTTATATATAAGAAATGTGTCTTAAATATAAACAGACATATGTGTGTGTATTTATATATACAAAATAATTATACACAGTACACACACATATTATGTAAACACAAACTTTTATTTTGGATGCGATTAATCGTTGCCCTGCACATTTTTTGTAACTATGCGAGTGGAACCGCTTCTCAAGGCACAAGCGAATGGGTCCCACATGTTTATTTCACATGTATATTGTGAGCAGTCAAGTCGCAGCTCGACTATCGGACCATATAGTGCACATAAATCGTGAGCTTTGGCTTTACATTGCATGCGATTTACTCGTACATTGAGAGATGGTATTTAACAAAAACATTGCTGAAATCGCAGTGTATGCCTGGCTTTAGACTTTTTTTGTGGTGTTGTGATGATAGCACCCTTACCTTTGAAAAAGAACTGTGTGATACACAAATGTGTTTTATTTATATTTGCAGCAGCATGTGCAGATTCAGGTAATGCTTGCTCAACAGACACGGGTAACGATTCAAATAAAACCCGAGAAAAGCACAGGACCACGTTTATAATTACATTAAGGCGCTTTGGCTTGTATCAGGAAATACAAGTCAGTCTTTGTTGTTCATATGGGAGCTAGTCCAGTCCTGTGAGAAGAAACCAAAATGGCTTCAAACTGGTTCCACAGCAATTCAGCCTCTGAAACTGACAAAGCAATTCTTCCATTAACGCTTTCCATTGCATTAACTCCTCCTTTTGTCTAGTGCTCTCATTCTCTCACCTTTTAAAATGTTTACTTTAATGTTATATGCCAGGTTTTGCCACAGTCTTTGTTCCTGTGTTGTTGTTTTTTTCTTTTCCTAAAGCAGAAGGTTGGGGCGTTACATAGTGAAGGGCCAACCCCTTCTTTAAAAGCCTAAAGTTTAACTCAAAGTCCCTTTAAGACAAATCGGTTCACTTGACGGCCATTTTCATAACACCCTGGGCAGCTATTTCCAGGCATGCATGTACAGCTCACACTACTTGAATGAAAAAGATTAAAACCTTTGTAATAATTTGTCAAAGTAACATTTCAATTACACATTTCAAATCAGCAATTTGACAACAATGGTGTCCTAAATTGTGCCAATCTAGAGTATACAAAGAAAAAGAGGATTGGCTCTTTTAACTGCACAGCAATACATAAAAGAGGATTGGTGCTTTAAACTGTAAGCCGAAAATGCAGCTCCCATATTGAGCATTACAATTTCTCCCATTCATTAATGAGTGGACCTTCTCTGCCTTACAAAGTCTCCGGTTTGTTACAGCCACAATTTAATGCCTGCAGAGGCATGTGGAAAGGAACATTCTCATTTTATAGAGTATTTCATCAATATTTTTTGTCTGTTTAATGCAACTTGTAGGAGTGCATTAACATCAATGACAAAAAAAACTAAAATCATGCACTAAAAGTCACAGAAAGTCCTTAACCAACTATTTCTAGTTTATACCATTTATGTAAAAATTAAGTAATTTAAATTGAAAATGATCATTGTTGTTGAATTCCCATTGTTTTGTGAAAATGTTAACTGATTTGAACACACTCAATTATATTAATCTCTAGGTGTATTTTTGTGTAATTTCAGGTGAGCGTGTATTGTCATGTCCTGATGAGCCCTGCTACCTCTGGTTTGTAATGGAGTTCTGCGAGGGAGGGGATCTGAATCAGTTCATCCTGTCTCGTCAGCCCGATCCCTGCACCAATGCCAGCTTCATGATGCAGCTGAGCAGCGCTGTGGCATTCCTGCATCAAAACAACATTGTTCACAGAGACCTTAAACCAGATAATATCCTCATTTCGCAGCGTTCTGGCACACCCGTGTTGAAAGTGGCTGATTTTGGACTGAGCAAAGTTTGTGCTGGTATTGGTGCCGGAGTACGGGAACCAGAGGAGGGACGAGACAAAAACAAGAATAGTGTTAACATCAACAAGTTCTGGCTGTCATCGGCATGCGGCTCGGACTTTTACATGGCACCGGAGGTGTGGGAAGGGCATTACACAGCCAAAGCAGACATTTTTGCTCTGGGCATTATCATCTGGGCCATGATCGAGAGAATCACGTTCATTGACGCTGAATCAAAGAGGGAACTGCTTGGGACGTATGTGCGGCAGGGTTCTGACATTGTCCCGGTTGGAGAGGCGCTTCTGGAGAACCCAAAGATGGTGTTGAGTATTCCCCAGCGCAGACGCTCACACATGTCCGAGGCGCTCCGGAAACTTTTGCAGGACATGCTGGCCGTCAATCCTCAGGACCGACCAGACGCATTAGAGCTACACAACAGAATGGGAAAGGTCACGTGTGCAGCGTAAAATCTGAACTTTGACCTGAATGCACACACAGGTATGTCTTTGCCAGTGACGTTTCCATAAATGTACAGATATGGTTGTTTTTGGCTTTTATGTTTTTGTGTGAAGATTCCTGTTTCCAGTAATAGCAGCTAATAACAATACTATTAAAGCTCTATTTCTTGAGGAGCACTTTGCCATTAAAGAGTGCATTTTGGAGTGATCTGATGTGTGTGTGCGGCTGTGCGCACATGTAACGGTTTTTAGGGCTTTTTAAAGTTGTTTTTAACAAATTAGTCTTAAGTTTATAACATTTGGCAGGGCATTTAATGGTGATATCAGCCAGAATTTTAATATTGATGCATCCATAACATCATCATCTGTATTTCCACACGACTGTCCCAGGGGTGTGGTTATTTTGATGAGTTACCGGGGTGGAAAAAAATATGACGTGTATATATTCTAGGTTTTGAATCTAAGTAAAACCATGCACACGTCTGCATCATAAGTAATACATTACAATAAGTTAAGTTGGTTGTATTATATATTATTATATGTATGTATTTTATATATATATATATATATATATGGATTATGGATAACATCTTCATTGTCTTTCCACAGCAATGTGGGATAAATTGCCAGTTGTTTCTGTTCTTTTTACTTATTACTAGTGTTATGTGTTTTGACAGGACTCTATCATGATGTGATTCTTTCTCAGATGTTCAGAGAGCTCCTGTTGGCGTGCTATAAGAGCCTCTTTTGTTTTTAAAAGTGTATGCTGGAATAGCTGTTACACAACCACACCCATTCACCACTACCCCTCCTCTAACACTCCCCATCCCTTCTTCTCTCTCTCTCTTTTCCATACCCTTTGCCCCGGGGGACAGTGCTCATCAGGCAGACCAGGAGACTGGGAGTTGTTCCTAGTTCAAAGATGGAAAGATTTTTGTTTTGACATGCCACACACAACTGACAGTTCCTTGCAGAGACCATAATTTAGACAGGTAGTTGTGCAGCATTAGGGATGCACAATATGCAGTATTTGATTTAAATATCGACTTTTTAGTGCTTAGTAACTATAGCATTAATATAATTTAACAGTGTATTGATATTGACCACACTTTTAATATCTGCACGTCATTCATTTATTTTCATAGTAAAACTGCTAAATGGTTTGTTTTTAAGTTGGATTGGTTCAACATAGCATTTAAAATGATGTATTTTAGTTGAATATCAGTCAGTTAAATATTATTGTGTGTTAATGAATATGAAAGGCAGGAGGGCTCGTGAGTTCCCCAGCCATTATGAGGACATTACAGCTGTCTGCTTCTCCCTCCAGTCGTCTTTTGTTGACCATCCCCCTCTCCTTCTCCTACCGTTGCAACATTCAAAGCGGAATAGAATACTGCATGCATGGAGCCTCTTGGATAATTTGCTCTCTGACAGTGGTGTGTATGTGTGGGACGTGAGAGAGGGTGGGTTTGCTCCCGAAACAGCGTGTGGTTTGTAGTTCGAGTGACTGCAGCGGGGCTTTAATAGCTATTCCTGACTCAGCATATAGTTTGAGCCGCAGGATATGAGGAGGAGGGGTGAGGTCTTTACACTGTATGCAGCTGAGATCAAGCTGCACTCATGCTGATTAATGACAGATAGCCTGCAAAGACTTTTAGTGTTTGTGTTGTGTTTGAATGCTTGTAAATCTGGTTACTCAACAAGCAATCTGAGATTTTGACCCATTTGAGGCATTATGCAACTCCATCATGACATCACCACTCCTGTGTTTTTTTTAGCCTGTCACTCAAAAGATAGAAAATGCATGGCCCCTCTTTTCTTTTTCTCTTTCTTTTTCTTTTTCTATTTTTGTGAAAAGTTTTTTTTTTTTCTCGTCTTGGTTCCTATGGTCAGTGGAAAACCTGGAAATATCAGGGAATCATGATATTTTTGGGGGGGGGGTGAATTTTTTATTTACATTTTTATTATATATATATATATATATATATATATATTTTATAAAGACATTTAATTGGATGGGAATTGCTGTTTTTGAATCCTTACCCAGTAGCAGGGCTGCCCTCGGGCCTTGACTAGTAGTCGTTCATTTAAGCGATTTCGTCGACTAATCGCACGTTTACATTAAAAAGCCATAAATCATAATAATGAGCCTTTAATTGCCTATAGCTATATAATTTCTGTGTTTTCGGCTGCAGAGATTAAGTCGACGGTGCTGACTCATCTCCGCAGTAGTGTACGCATATATGCACGTTTCACACGGATTACATAATCTGAGAATATTTGTTTTCCACTTGAATTGGTTAATTTAAAAGTAGATATTTCAAGCTTTCTATAGATATATTTCTCATGTCTGTGAGGCAAGTATACACTGAGTTTCCATTCATTTTTGTGACGTGCTCAAGTTCACCGAGACCGAGATGACAGAAATCGCATCCTGATTGTTTTCATTATTTTACAAAAGCACAACATTTTGTTGTTATTGTGAGTTTACGGACATAAAGATAGACCCTTTACAGTTTGCATTACTCTTATCTCTATGACCAAAAATGACGGGAGTATTTTAAATTAAAAACAAGTGATGGCGCCTGTATGTCATTCAGTAAGCGCTCCACTTGTAAAGTTGCTACTACTTGCATGTTTCAAGTGATAAGCCATATTTGAGGTCGATGAATGGTAGGCATTTTGGATTTCCTGTTGTTAACAATCTGTCCATCACGGACTGTGATTTTGCCACTTCCTGTGGAGGATTTTTTTTTTCCTGCGACTAACCATCTAATAAAATTTTGGACAACCAAGCCACTTCAAGTCGATTATTAGGGGGCAGCCTTATGCAGTAGTAATCATGAATGACTGAAAAATCATGAAAATGAATTGATCAAAAATGTGTGACTATTTTAAGTACCAATTCTAATGACTTGATGTTGTTTGTTTTTCTTTTCGTTCTTTTTAGGTTTTCCCTTTCCACATCAGCCCAGAAGGGGCCACATTGCTTGGACAACTGTGAATCTTCCATTGCTGATTTAATGTGAAGAGTACGAAGTGCTCAACTTGAACATTAATACAAACTTTCAACTGACCTTTCACTTTTTTTGTTTACAGTAGTGATTTAAACGAATCATTGAGCAAGCCCAGAAGTGTTCAGCCTAACTCATCATCAGTTACGTCACTAAAAGTGAAGTAAAGCTAAAAACAATGTTGTGATACAGTGAGTACAATCAAGCTAAAACAAGCAAGCTCTTTATTAGTCTTACTGAAGGACTAGGACTCTAAAATTGTTCATGGAGCTTCCCTAGTTGCTCATATTCTCATAACAATCTTTTGCCATAAATAAGTCAACAGAAGTATTTCAGTTATTTGATCAAGTTTTAAGGGCAGTAAACATTAAAGTTTTTTTTCAAGACATGTTTTTTATTTTATTTAATAAAAGATTAGACGCATAGATACTTGACTACATTTTGAGCTCAAGCGTCTACATATATATGCTCATCACATGTCACCAATCAAGCTTCATAGTCTTACACTTGTCCAACCAGTTGGCCTTACTTGAGTTAAAAATTAAACTCCACTGGACTTGATAATATTTATATTTGCTATGTCACATTGCAATAGCTGAAATTAGGATAATTAAAGACTAACTTTCAAAACTTGATTTTAAATTGCTAAATCTAAAATGCTCATCCTAAGCCTAAGCCCAGTATTGAGATTCCCCCCCTCCTTGGATGCAGATTTATTCTGGTGCCTTGAAGTCTAGTGATATTGAGATTTTCTTTTAGGTTGTTGTTTTGTTTTACAGCTTTATCTTTTAAACATGCAGTACATTCTCCAAGATTTTAATATTTAAACACTTTACATATTAGGCATGTGCAGTTTAACCATTTAGGTGCCAGTTTTACATTGTGTGAGATTATTATTTTTTTTGCCCAAAAAGATTGACTGATTCTGGTGTCCATTTATAATGCCCCTGTCAACTATGTAAAACCATGCGAACATCCCTACTGCACAGATACACTTATACAGTTTCACAGATTATTTGTTTTCGGACTTGGAAGAGAAGGTTATGGATTGATTATGAATATTTCCTTTTTGTTAGCTGATTACTTGGAATAGTTCTCAAAAACAGGATGGGAGCTTCATAGTGGTACCATTGGATTTTTTCATCCGCATCCTAAATGCTTCATAGAGAACAAGTTGGTGTGTCTGTGTGTGTTTGACTGTTTCCAAGTGTGATTTTGCTTGACAGTTTGTGTGTGCTATAGTTCTACCTCAGCACTCTTGTGTTTTAGTAACTACTTCACTAAATGAACTAGCAGTGCTTTCTGTTTTTTGGAGAAAATAGTAGTTCATGTTTTCCAGATGGTTTATTTATTTATATTTTTTTTGAATAATAAATCTATAATGTCAAGCTTTTAGTAACTTTATTCCCTTTTCTTTTTTACTGCTTATTGCTGTCTGCTGTAGAGGAAACTTGAGGCTTGTGAGATCAAAAAAAATTTCTTGTATTGAATCACCGTCAGGTTTTAAGGTGTTTTGAGTTGTAATATTCTGGGCCGTATGGTTCTTCACTTGGGAACAAAAAGGGTTCTGTTACTTTTTATATGTTCGCTTACATTTTCATTCTATTCAGGAAATGATTTTTGTTTTTAATGGGAGTTTTTTTTTTTTTTTTTTTTTTACGGCATTTTGAATGATTGTATGTTTAATGAGGGTCAGTTAATCCTGGTGAGAGTCGGTCAAATGTTTTTACATTTTCTTTATTGTACACTCAGTTACTCCTCTTTTCAGTTTGGATGTTTCAGAGGGTAGAAACTGAATTTTGTCATAGCAGTCAGACGGACCACAGTAGTAGACTGCACCTGCACTGAGGAGAGTGAACCAAGCATAATAGAAGATCACTTCCTGTTGTATCCTCTCTTTTGCTCAAATTATGTTGTTCTTTGTATTCCTTGTGGTCCAATTTTGACTGTTCAACGCACTCGTCTATGCAACCTTTCCTTCTCTGACACTGTGTGATGCTGCTCTGCTTAACTAGCCTCTTCAGACCTTGACGGTTTTGTTACTCTTTTGTGCTCATTTAATGACCTTTTTGTGCTTTTTGTGTGAAAGTCTGACTTTTTTAATGGACTTTCCTTTGTGTAAAGCACATTAGAGCTGTGTTGAAAGCTTCACTCTTTTGGGTGGCATCTCTTATTGTTTTGATGTTTTTGATCAATAAACCATGTAAAAGCATAACTTCTGTTGTTTTAATGTTTATGTTACTCTTTAAGATGACAATTTACAGAATACTATGCAGTTTTTCTAACAAATTTACATTTGAAGTTGTTTTAAAGGGTCAGTGTTGCAATTGCAAAAATAGTGCCATCCTGTCTATCATTGTTAGGACAAACAGGTATAAATTAAACTGAATAGATTAAAGATTGTTTGTTGTCGAAACATAATACTAGATGCTGTACAATATACCGTGATGAGACAAAACATTATGACCAGTCACAGGTGAAGCGATCTCCAAGACCACATATGACATATTAAGGTCTGGGTACTGGGCAGATTAATAAAGCAAACAAACAGTTCTTCTATTTAACATGTTGGATGCAGGAGAAATGAGCAGGAAATAAAGATCTGAGCCACAAGGGCCAAATTGTTATTTGGCAAGGCGACTAGGTCAGAGTATCTCTGAAAGTTGTGGGTTGCTACCAGTCAGCAGTGGTGAGAATTTGCCAACAGTGGTTCAAGGATGGACAAACCGGCGACAGGGTGTCTGGTCCGAGCAAACAGAAGTTCTACTGTGGCTCAAGTCACACACAAATTTTAATGATGTTATGGGAGGAATGTATCGCAACACACAGTACATCTACTCTAAAGCGCCTACAATGGACACTTGAGCATCAGAATTGGACCTTGGAGCAGTGGAAGGTGGTCGCCTGGTTCGATGAGTCCCTTTTTCTTTTACATCACGTGTACGTGTGCACCTGGGGAAGTGATGGCACTGTGGGACGACAAGCATGTGGAGGTGATGCTCTGGGCAGTGTTCTGGGTCCAGCTATTCATGTTGACGTAAATTTGACACATGCTTCCTAAACATTATTGCAGACCAACTACACCCCTTCATGACAATGGTATTCCCTGGTGGAAGTGACCTCTCTCAGCAGGATAAAGCACCCTTCCACACTGCACCCATTGTTCAGGAATGGTTTGAGAAACATGATGATCAAGGTGTTGCGCTGGCCTCAAAATTCCCCAGATCTCAATTCAATTGAGCATCTGTGGGATCAAAATGTTAGATTCACGGAGGCTCTATCTCGCAACCTACAGGACATGAAGGATCTGCTGCTAACGTCTTGGTGCCAGAAACCACAGAACACCTTCAGGGGTCTTGTAGAATCCATGCCTCGGCGGGTAGGCTCTGTTTTGGCTGCATGCGGAGGACCAACAGCATATGTGCTTGTTTAAGCCCTGACAGACAAAACATAAATCCTAATGTAATCCTTTAGTCCAGAGTCATGGTGATGTGACCGGACTTCAGTTTGATTTCCGCGGTCCGGCTACTAAACACTTGTCTGATTTTTGTCGCCTGATACCACAAACAGCCACATTATACTAATCAGTTCAGACAAGATAAATCCCCTCTTAAAACAAAGCGATCACCTTCCATAGACTGCTGTTATCCATTGCATTTGGCAGTCATGCGTGAGAGGACATTTTGTTCCCATACACTAACACCCAAACACCTGCCTGTTATACTGACAATATATGTTCTGACAATTTTGGGCCTAACCTACTGTCAGTTCTCACAATAAAAACTATTACTATGGTCGTGAAAAAATGCTAGGTATATTGGCTCCACCAAATGAGGAAAACATGTCTAATTGCTGCATATTTAAGCTTGGAATAATGACAAAAAAGAAAGAGTCTTGAAGAGCGCAAGCCAAGGAGACAGTGGGGAATGTGCAGTCTATGGTCATGGTATGCACTGGGGGAGGGTCTTCTGTTTGTGTGTTAATATGACGGCCGGGGGAGTCTATGTACTCGCTGACCCCGATGATGGAGGGAAAACAGCTTTATAAGGTCATTACATAACCATAAATGTGTGTCTTATGATGCTTTGTTGCTTGCTTCTCAACTAAACACCCTTTTAAATGTTTTATTAATACATGTATGTAATAAACATCACTTCATGTCTATTTCCTCATTTATATTGAATGTCTGTTTGAATGTCATATTAAGCGCTGTATGGCACATTAATTTTCAAAAGAATGATTTTTTTTTTTCTTTTACCATCTCTAATATATTTAATTGGTTTAAATAATGGTATAGTTGTGGTGGTAGTGTCCATAATGCACTAATCTGTAGGCTACTCATAATCATGTTTTGATTGTATCATGCTTCATTGATGAATTTTGGAACAATTAATATTTTGTGAATAAGCCTCTGCATTTATTTGATCAAAAATAAAGTAAAATCAGTAATATTGTGAAATGGTATTACAATTCAAAATAACTGTTTTCTATTTTAAAATGTGATGTATTCTTGTGATGGCAAAGCTTAATTTTCTGCAGCCATTAACATTAGTCTTCAGTGTTACCTGATCCTTCAGAAATCATTCTAATATGCTGATTTGGTGCTCAGTTGTTATCAATTATGATTATCAATTTTGAAAACAGTTTTTGAATGTTCCAAACATGTAATATATAAATAGCGCTTGTTTGATTGTTTGTGTCATATTAAACCATCAAACTTCCTAAAATAGTCTATATTTTTGACAAAATACAATTTGTTGAATAATTGAGTGATATCAGTGATATGTACATCTAGTTATGAAAGGTTTATTGAACTCGTTTACCAGTTTTTAAGGTTATTTCAGAATATAACAAACCTAAAACACAGACCAAGACATCACAACCATTTGGTCAAACTGAGACTTGAGACAATATATAATACAATATAATGTATAATATAGGCTACAATATACGTGCAGGCACATCATATGTTTTAAAAGTAATTTCATTCTTTTTTCTGGATTGATGAGTGGAAGAAGGGTTGTCTTTAAATAGGGTTGGATTAGTTAGAATCTATGGCTCACAGAGATACCATTAAACATTACTAAACTGACTGCTTATATATTTAAGGGTTCTACTTTTTCTGTGAAGGATTTTAGGAATCATTTATGCATTTCAGGTACCATGGAACAGGAGTCACTGGTATGAGTTTCTGGAAGCTTGTCGTAGAATGCGGCATCATGAATAATGCTTTACTGGATTTAGGTCACTCTAATAGAGTGACATCAGTGACGGGCACTGTCACGATAATTATCTGAATTATTATGGGTTGGTGGTGAGTTTAGATTGTCTACATGCAATCACAGAAAAAGATTCTAGATTAGAAATATGTTTGTGTGTGTATATATATA